TATTAAATTATAAAAAATATAAATAATAAATTTTAAATTACTAAAATTTAGTAATAATAATTTAAAAATTACAATAAAGGTAAAATAAAATGAAATATTTCAAAAGAGATTAAATCTGGATTATCTAAGATCTTGATCTAATAGTTAAAAATTATCCGTCATTTAGTGGGATTCATTTGTGTAATTGAACTATCCAAGGCTTTCACTTGTGAGAAGCGGTTAGGCTAAGATTACTACGCTCATTTGTGAGTCATAATTTTTTTAATACTAACAACCATGAGTGTCATATCCTTAAGCTAACCTTCTCATGAATAGGTGAAAACTAGCTAAGTTCAAGTCTCTATTTGAACAACTGGGCAGTTTTTCAAAGAACAAGTGGATATAAATAAATATAGGTAGACCCTAAATCAAATTCTAGAGAAAAGGGAAGAAGGTGAAAGTAATTAAAGAGCTTGTGAAACTTACTTTAGTGTTTACAAGCCTCAATTTACTCTTAAATCTTCAAAGACTTTGTGCCCTAGCAAAACTCTTGAGTTTCTTTTCGTTTTCTCTTTCTCTTTCTTTTGTTTTCAAACCAATCATGCACCATGATGCCTATCATTTGTGTCACAACATGTGGTATAGAAAGTTGTGCTTCACATGCTGGTGACTTGTACACTGCAACACAAAACGTGTGCATCATGGCATGTGGCATACTTTCTCTTGTTTTTCTTTCTTCTTGAGGTCTGGCATCCCAACCTTACTTTAAACCTAATTCTAGGGTTGAAATCACAACCCAAAATATTTATTAGCTCTTTGTAAACATACACCGTATTAATTTACTTAATTAACTTCATTTAACTTAACTAATCAAGGGTTAAGTTCTTAGGATGTTACAAAAAGCATTTCAAAACTCCTTCACAGACATCCATTGTGAGAATCAAGATTGCTTACAATGATGAGTTTTATGAGTTAACCAAACACATTGAGATTTACTATCACTTTATTCGACAACATGTTATTTGGGGCACCATTTGACTTATTTCAATTCGACCTAAGTATTAGCTAGTAGACTTATTTACAAAGTTTTTTCATCTAAACCATTTCTGATTTTTGGCAAACAAACTCAAGTTGCTATCTGTTAAGTCATCTTGAATTTGAGGAGAAATGTTATTTAAAGAATTCTAGAATATTTTACCATTTAGTATGTCATTGTTGAGAAATATTATTTGCCATTATTGAGAGATATGATATGATATGATATTATATTATCATAGATAGTTATTATGAGGTTGTCTCTTTCTCCTTATATATATATATATATATATATATTGTACTATTTACAATAGTAATAGAAATGATATTTTTCAATCTTCTCTTATCTTTCTCTTATCTCTAATAGCTTTTAGTAAGATAGTCCGTTTTTCTTTTCTCTTTTTAATAGCACGTAATAACTTGGCGTCTATGAGACTCACCAAGACCTGGGAGCTAAAGACGGGGATAGATTCCAAGACATGTTGGTCGGTAGCATGGTAGGCCCAAGCTTGGGATTCAATATCTAACAAAAGCTGGGGAAAATAACTATAAAGCCCAATACAAGTATTCTAATTATCACAAAGTCCCCCCAAATGCATAAATAATTGTGAGATTATTGGAGACTTGACTATAAATATTTTTTTTTTTAAATTGACCAAAATATCCAAAAAAAATTAAAAAAAGGAAAACACACGAAACACTCCTCCAACCCTTTCTCTCCCCCCTTACCCTCTCTCCCTCCCTCTTTCTTCTTCATTCTTCTTCATCTTAGCCACCCTCAAAGCCTATCCCCTCTTCAATTTTCAAAAGGTTCATCAGCACGTTATGGCACACTCAAAACTACAATAAAACAACATTAAGAACACAAAAAGATTTGATTATGACACCAATTTACCACAAGATTCTCCCAACAGGAGTACTGCAGCTCTTGAAGAAATTCTCTTAATCATTGTCATCATCGTCAATACAACGTTACTCATTTGCGGCCTTGACCTTTTCGAGCATTTGTCAAGGTTTTGTTGGAGTTGAGCATCCCATTTCACAAGTTGATTAACAAAAACATCACCCAAAACCATTCCCAAGACATGCTCCCATGAATGCCACATGTAAGGGAGTTTATGAAGGGCGTTGGAGTACATCTGAGTACCCAAACCAAGAAAGGCTTCGATTGCCATCGCACCCAATGCGATTATCGCTCTCGGCCCCACCTCAACCTCTCCTTCGTTGATTCCTTGTTTTATTATTAATGTGTTTGTGGGTATGTGACCATTTCCCCCTCTTTTCTCTGCGAACAAACTTATGCAGATAGCTTGTACGAGACAAAGCAAATGAAACTCTTCAAGAATAAGAATAAGAGCAACACAAACAATCGACGATAGCATACTAACCAAGGGGTGTTGCCCTGGCGGGAGAGAAGGGATTGTGAGTGTTTTGTGCGTTTGTCCTTTTTTTTTTTCCAAATAAAAGTATTTTGATCAATTTACAAAAAATCTTATTTACAATGAAGTCTCTAAGAACTTTACAACTATGCATGCATTCGGTGAGATTTTGTATTGGTTAGAATACTTGTATGAGACTTTATAATGATTTTTCCCCTAGAAGGCGAACACATACATAGAATGGGAATGCATGCATAGGGTCTACACCGTTGGACCTATATTACATACATACACACTCGGGTCAGAAGGATATGACCCAGGAGCAGTCCTTCCGCCACATACAATCCATGACAGAGCTTAATATTTTTCGGGATAGTTAATATGAAGAAAAAGAAAGCGGAGCGGAAATTGAATGGAGGTGTGAGCGTGAGTGCCATTTGAAATAATGAAAACACAAAAGGATATACGGATGAAAGGATTTGAGCATGTGGGGCTTCATGGAGTACAGGCGCTTCCCGGTGGATATTGCTGGGCCCATCGATGAAGCATCGGGCGTCAGTGTTGTGAAGAATCCATGGAATTGAAACGGATGCAGCGAGTCATCATGTCATGTGTTATGAAAGAGTTTGACTGGGTGTTGGGCTAACCGCTTGTTATACTTGGCTTTGGGCTCGACAGAGAATGAGGACACCGAGGGAGTCCCCATTACCCCCAACACCCCCCATATGGGCGGTCCTTCTGTGTTCTGTGTTCCGTGGAACACGGTCTTTCCCAAGGCCCACTCCTTCCTCCTCCATGTTCGTTTCACCTCACTACATGACAACGCCACGCGCTCAGCTTCCCGCTTCGCCACCCCATGTAGTCTCTCTCTCTCTCTCTCTCTCTCTCTCTCTCTCACACACACACACACACAACCCTTCTTTTGTTTTTCAATCATTTACCTTCTGCTGCAAGCCATGTCAGAGACCACACCCAACATAGACTACGAAAATACGGGAATGCAACACTGGTGTTTCCTAAAATATAGTACTCTATTTGTTGGAGTTGATGATTAAAAAAAGGACAATGCATAGAATCCGAGTTGATTAACCCAACATTTTTTGGTTCCCGACAGAATAATGAAATACGTTGATAATGATCGCCGGCAGGACACGTCACCCCCAATACGCGTTTTCTGCAGTTTATAAGATTGAGATAGCCCCTAAATAGAAAAGATGAGATGGAGACCGCATATATATGGATAGCATCACCTCATCATCCCTGTCTCCTGAGCCAGACTTTCTTGTAAGAGTGGGGTTTTAAATTTTTAATAGTAGTAATAACAAATAAAAAATGACGATGAGGAGGAGGGTCAGCTGCTCTCAAAGGTGAAATGACAAACGAGACAATAATGAGGAAGTTGATGCATAAAATTATTGGGGGGGGGGGGGAGGAGGGGGCGCCCACGAGAAGCCGACAGGAAATACGAGAGGGACGACAAGTGTCCTGGGTTTTCAGGACCGGGGATAATTAGGTGGGCGCACCAAATCTGCATAGAATCAATACAAAGATGCGACCGAAGCATCCAAAAAGACTTTGTCAAAAAGCAACTTTTGGTTCTGCGCCTCCGCGTCAACCGTCCCTTTTTCATTTTTATCTTTTTCCTTTCCTGCGCTTTCGCTCGGAAAGATCGACTCTTTCACGATTCGCATACACGCGCCCGCAGGTAGAGGGAGAACATGGAGGGAGTCTGATGGGGTTAAAGTGAAGAATAAGAGAATTGAGGGGCAAGAAAGGCGAGTAATGAGAAGTTTCCGGGAAAGTAGGGTATCAGGTGTCGTTGGTCCACCCAATTCAACGAGTATCATTACTTGAAACATGATAATGAAAAGTAAAAGATTGAATGGTCATGGATGACGGGGACGGGGTTTGCCAATCATGATAGCGTGGTCGCAACGTATACGGTGTGTGTTTAATCAATGAAAGCAAGGAAAGACAAAGCCTCTCGGCTCGCCTTATTGGGGAATCACGTGGGGGTGTGACCCACAAGTTCCCTGAAAGCCAGAGAGCTCCTCTCTCTTCTCTCTCACACACACACACGAAGCAACCTGATTAGTGGACAGAGACACGTGACCTACCTTCTCCATACTCTTTCCAGTTTAATCTCAAACCTCCCACTTATTCCCTCATATTATCCAGCTTATCTCCTTCCCTACCTTTTCTTTCTTTTCACTCTCCCCTCGTGTTCTCCTCTCAAACACTCCCATTCTTAACTTCTACTTCTTCTCATCTCGTTCTACTTTATATCTCTGTGTCTGTCCCGCAAAACACGTATATATGGTGCACTCCTGTAACTTCACCATCTTCAAGAACAACCCATTGTGACACGCGCGCCTACACTTTATTAAAAATAAAAAATAAAAACCGATACAACTAAACTGATTTGGTCCATCATCAGATTGTCATGGGATTCTTTGCTATGAACACGTACATATTTGACACGCTCACGGATCTTGGAACCTCGGCGCACATCATCGTTAACTGAACTAGTTTTTATTTTAAGAAATACAATTAAAGCCAGAGGACAACAATATTTGCAACAGCATAAAAAAAAAAAAAAGCGATTGCTTGATCGATAGATGTCTTCTATAAAGATTTATGAACATATGAAAGAAAATAAAGGGGTCGGAACTGTTGTTACTATTTCTCTACACAGTATTAGCTAATTACACCGTTTCCTACGTGTATATCCCGCAACCAAAAAATACAGTGGCCCTGGGGAATACTTGTGTCGTTGATCTGCTTGTTCCTCAAAACCTAGGAATGATCAACATGCCGCGGAAGGATTGGGGAAGGGCGTGTAGAAATGAGGCTTCGGTGTCACTGAGAAGACGTTCTTGTTAGAAGCGCCGTCGCCGGCGACACCGCCCTGCCTCTCACAAGACGGGCACATGCTCAGGGTGGCCGCAGGCATAGCCATGTACAGAGGTTGGGCAAGCTTCAGCGCCTTCAGTTCGTGCACCTCCTTCTGCAGCCTCTTGTTTTCATCCGTCAGCGTCTCGCAGCATTTCTTTAAGAATTCGCAGTCCACCTCCGTCTGCTTCAGCTTCGTCCTGCAACGACCCAACACAACCGTTCCTTATCAGCCTTCAATATATCTTATCCACGCGCTAATGGGTGTGCAACTTGTGTAGGCCACTAGGCCATCATGACAATTCTGATAGACTATTGGTATTCTATGAATTCCAAGAGAAAACGATTATTATGGAGAGAGTTTCAATATTCTTGCATATAGTACACGTACGATCTCTTCGAACTCGGAGACCGGTTTTTACCTGGCTCGCCGATTTTGGAACCATACTTCAACTTGTCTTGGCCTCAGATTTAGCTGCCTGGCTAAAGCTTGCTTCTGCTTCTGTAACTCAAAAGCCAAAATCCCAAGGTCAGTCGTCAAACAACTAACGAATATAATATTAATTAGCATTTAGCACACTTTACGGAAGAGGGAGCGGCTAACTTTATGACGTACAGGATTGAGAGTGCTATTTTGTTTGAAGCTCTCCTCTAGCAAGGCGGATTGTTCTTTGGTGAGTCTGAGCTTCTTTCTGGCATTAGTTCCGTCTTCGTCTTGGTCGCTCCTTCTCGAGGAAAAAATCCTCTCCGCCGCCTCGACCTCATCGTTGCAGAGATCTCTCTCCCTTTTCACTCTCCCACCGGAGAAGGATGAGACGGCGCTGTGAGGTGATGTTTGGCGAGAAAATTCAAGAGGATCCTCACAACTTTTGTTCACGTCAATCTTTTTCGGGACTTGTTGTGGAGTCTCGGCCGGAAGACCCAGGGTTAAAGATGGCTCACAACTACTTGTTGGCGAGAAATTGCAGGAGCTCTTGGTTGGCCTGCTATTATGGTCAGCCTTGGATGGAGCAGCGGTCATGCCTAACCCTAGAACAAGGTGAAGGCCAGGGCTACTAGCAGCATCACCAAAACCCATTTGTGCGGGATGGTACGGTAAGGAAGGACGGGAATGGAGGGGAAGATATATGGTATGGGCTTAAAGGGACTGAGGGAGGCAAAGGGTGTTTAAAAGAGAGATGAAGGAGACTTGTGCGGTGGGTGGCTGGGTGGGTGGGTGGCTGCGACTATTAATAATCAAAGGAAGGAATGAGTAGAGGCACGAATCTGAGTATTGGAAATTATAAAAGTCACCTCTATATCTCTAGTTCTCTATACATAGGTTGACCATGGGATCTAGTCCCACTGAGGTTCCCTCCATTATAATATCATGGAAAAATAACCCCCCCCCCCTCACCCACAGTTCACATAGCAGTGGGGAACACATCAAGAGGGGTGATTCGCCTTGCTTGACTACGCAACCCGCACACGTAATTAATTATTAACGTCTTCCTTGCCAATAATGTATGCGTCCTTGTAGCTTCACTTTAGGATGTATAAATTATTTTTATGATCCCTTCTTCCTTTACTCGTGTCCATGCACCTCCTTTAAAGTTTTCCCATCACGTGAGGGCGCATTTAATAACAGACCGAATTTTTGCACTCGCCCAACGATTATGATGAAATTATAAGTACTTATTAATCAAATATGATTCCCGGAGAAATATTAGAAAAGAAGAGCGGGCCGGGGGAATGGGGCATGAGTTAACAGGTTCGTGGGTGTAACAGAGCCACATGAAGTGTCCTCCAGACCGGGTCGAACCAGTCAGGGATGGGTACCGTGTTACCTTGCTTGCCAATGCTGTATGTACTTTTTAGTGAAGGGGAGGAGCGGGAGGGATGGTCTGGAGGGTCTAGCACTTTGCTAGTAATGATTGTGGGAGGCTAGACAGTGATGTGCACCGAGTGGTTTGTTTCCAAAGGGAAAAGTGGGTACGAGACACGAATGGAGGTGGAGTTAAAAAATGGTGGGGGAGAATGTGATTCATCAACAAGAATTCGGATGTTTGCTTAACTAGAAAGTTGATGGGGAGTGTGTTTGGGACCTACCCGTCTCAATTAGTACTGTAAGCACTTTCAATAATGCATTGTCGGCGATGCTCAGGAAAAGTTAGGTCACCCATAATTGATGATGAACTTAAATTTCTTGATGAGCGGCAACACCAGGGGCGTCACCCTCGTGCCTAATATTCTCATTTTATCCCATACATATGCTTTTCCTTTGCTCCCCATGCCTCTACCTATTATAAGCAGTATCCATGTACATCTTTACACGCGCCCTCGCCCACGTCGGTGCATCTATTCACATTAAGTTGTCAGCGTATGCTGTGACGTTCAATGTAAATGTCCCGCACTCGTGCTATCCAAGTGTCAAGTGAAAGCTGAGTATATATTATAAACCCATAAATGGTACTGTCTCCTCTCTAAATCATGAAGCATTTTTAATTATAATTTAAATATTAATAAAATTTAATTGTATCTTTATTTTCGGTTAAATGTCACAAGTTTTTCTTTGTACCCTCTCCCTCATTTGTCAATAATAATAATATTTTTTAATAAAGTATTATAACATAAGAAAACATTACTCACCTTGTCGATCAATGAAGTTTTATCCATGATGAAGGTGAAAAAATATAATAAATACCGCAAAACAAACTAAGTTAATAAATATAAAAGTAAAATGAAAAAAAATTTAAAACTTATCAAATATCTTATATTTTAAATCAAGATAAGATGAGAAAAAAATGTCTAATAATTTAAACAGGAGGGACTATCTTTTGACCTTTGAATCATAAATTGTAACTATCCTCCTGTTCTTTTTTCTTGTCCTTTGAAGGTCCAGCCTCGGCTTAGTAAACCAAATTTTCTATTGAATGCCTGTTTGAATGCGTTTATTAGTGTGTCTGATGTAAGTAGAAGATTACTTTTGCTACATTAGATTTCCTGAACCGATTTTTTTAAATTAGAAGCTTCGAAGTGGAAATTGTATATTGGTTTCATTAAATATACATACATGCAAGAATAACTAATTAAATTTTACCTGGGGTATATACTACATATGTAAATGATCATATTCATAATCATCCAGGTTAAATTTATCTTGAAAAATAAAGTATTATAAATATGTAATCTTTAAGTTTTCTTTATAAATCATTTATACCAACTTCATCAATATTAATGTAAAAAATAAAATAATAAAAGTGTATAAAATTTTAAATATATTTTTATATAATAAATTTAAAAAATATAAAAATATTTTTAATATTATTTAAAAAATATATAATAACTTATAAATAAGATTAAATTACTTGTAAAACGTGGGACACGTGGGGAAGTAATCTAAGTAGTTTATGATTCGGAACATGATGGGACAAGCCCACTCATCTCTCAGGTAATGGGACGCATCATCATGGTTGCCCGAAAAGGTAAAGGGCGGGGAAATGATAATATTGACATTAAGTAGCCAATTTTGCTTTTATTTTCCGTGTTTCCTGTTTCTACCCATTCTAATCTCTTCACGGGCCAACTTGCACCCAGAATCACTTCATCAAAAAAAAAAAAAGGAAAAATTACATTCAAAGTTTTATAAAGGCAACTTTTTCCTCCATACATCCCATAAATTTTACAAAATATATTCTCAAATTTCAAATCATACACATTGATAATTTAATTAAAATATTGATGATGGTCAACTCTGATCAAGTTGTTATTGTATAAGATTTGAGATTTAAAAATATTTATATAAAATTTATAAGACTTATTGATAATAAACCTTCTTGAACTTGAATGTAAATTTTTCGAAAACAAATCTCCATCTCTGTGGTGTGGTCGCGCTTGCTTAATTCTGCTTTTTTTTTTATACTCATAAAATATTTTTTTAAAATAAGTCCTTGAAGATCATTATTCTAAAAATATATCAGAGTGGTGAAGTGAAAGTAAAAGAATGATTTAATTTATTAATACAATTATTATTAATGAAAATATAATTAATATTATCCAACTTTGTTTTAATTTTAAAGAAATTTTTCAGTTTTACAGAATAACTTTGACTCTTTTATTTTTAGAACAGAAAAAAAAACATATTTTCAATCATTTTTTTTTTATTTTTCCTTGAAAAAATATTTTAAAATAGGAAATCAAACCCTTCGTTTTATCTATTTCCTTCCTTTTACTTACTACAAATATAAGCCTTTCAAAGAGCGGAGAATTACTGCGATTTGCATGGGTATTTATGACGCAATACGCATCTTAAAACAAAAAAAAAAAAAACAAGTGCACCCTCGTTCTCTGCTTCAAAAAGCAATTACATTACATGGCTTAAAAGTATTATGAACGTCAAGCAAGTTTAAAATTACCAATTATTGAGGGAGGGAACATATTATATAAACAGCAAGAGTAGGATGATGCAGCGGTTTTGTCTGGGCCTGAAGTAGTGGCTGGATAGCCAGAACAAAAACAAAAACAATCTGGGACCCAGTCACCCAGATTGCGTGGAATTTGACTTGACACTGTGAGAAGGGAAGATTTTTTTTTTTGGGGGGGGGGGGGGAAGCTAAATTGAAATATCATAATATTCATATGATTAACGAAACCATGGCCTTGCGATTAATTTAATTTGAAACGATCCGATTCCACATCACATTCACGCGCAAACACAGACCCCAACAAACCAGGGGTGAATCTCATGTCACGGCCACCCTTGCCACTCTCGTTAATGGATTGCTAATAATTAATTTGTACTCCCTTCATTTTTTATTATTAAGTAAACTATCATTTTTTATTCATATTTTTTTATAAATAAAATTATTCATTTTAATAAAAATTTATTATATTTTTAAATCACCTCTCATAATTTATATTAATAAAAAATAATTAATACATGTTTGTATTGATCAGCACAAAATATTTTAATTTAATTTTTATAAGTTTAAATATAATTATTATAATTAACTGATTTTTTTAAATAATGTTATGTAATTTTTATATATATATATATAAACAAGGGGAGTTTGTATGTATATACTCACTGCTGGGGATGATGATCAGGAAGGGTGTCGAGCAGGAGAGGAGACACGTGGAAGGATGGCTACAGTCATGTACCCCACCAATGATTTAGGTATAGGCATTCGATTCTTACAAGCTAAGCTGGCCGGAGAAGGAGAGAAGCAGCGTTAGAATTTGGAAAGATTGTTGAGATGAGGTTTGGGTGACGCATGTCGGTGGCTTTAAAGCTCGTCCCCCAAGTTTGTCTGCTTTTGTTCGTATTTTTCCTTTTACTTTGCGTAAATATTAATTATCTCGATCCACCTTTAAACAGTGCATCGCCATGGCGTACCCATTGTCCTATTCAAGGAAACAATAGTTCACGATGCATTCATATTCTACTCTCTTGCACGGGTCCCATCATCCTTTTTAAACACACAGTTAATGTTTTATTTTTAGGCAAGGAATTTTAATATATTCTTATAGATATATAAAAAATACATTAATTACCTTTAGAAACAATCCTCGGCATGCTCTGTACATATAAAAACATGTAATTCATTTAGTTTGGCCAGCTCTCATGTTCATAATTTTATATTATATCTATGCAATTCTCTGTATATTATATTTTGTAAGTCCATGATTACTTGATTAGAATTACTTTCATATTAACCCCGCTCAAACCAGACGTTGGTCTAGGACGTTAACCGACCCGGCCCTACCCCCACCCGTGTGCAGAGCACTGCTGTGTGAGATAGAGAGAGAGAGAGAGAGAAGACGAGGAGTGAGGGGTGGGGTGAAGAATCAGGGAAAGACAGGAGGGAGCAACCAAATATTAAACGCACCGACTTTGAATAAAAGAGCGGGAGGAGTGGGGAGGGGTGGTTGCGTGAGAAGTGTGGGTCCTGGTGGGTGGAGATTTGAAGCTAACATGACCATCATCACTAGCGTTTGAAAGGCGTGAAATCGGAAAGGGTGTGGCAGCCCCCTTGCCCACTCACTCTCAGTAGGGCTGGAATGCAGGCCGGGTTTGTCAAATCATTCATTTAAATTCATTTTTGTAAGAGTATGGGTTTAAAAATCAGTGAATTTCAATGTAATTGAGTTTATACGTGCAGTGCTGTTGGCTCAGGTGATTCTCTAAGCTTACATAGATATGTTATTTTAAAAAAAAATGTACTGAAAAAAGTTTTTAAAAAAAGAGGAAATTGTAATTCATTTTACATGCTAGTTTATAAATTTGACTTATATTGTGATATAATTGAAAATCTATATTTGTTTTGTTTATTTTGATATTTACAAAATATTAATTAATTTGTAATGTTATAATGTTAAACTTTATTTTGA